AGACAAATTATGAAGATCATGCAGATTTTTGAAAGATATGACCAGGTATGCTGGTGCCTTGAATGTAGTGTGTCTTTTAATTTCCATGACCTTTCCATGGAAGTATTAGAGATACCATCCCTTAAATACCAGCATTTTATTCAGGGACAGTTCCTTCATGATAATGCAGTGTCATTTGTCTAGATGCTTTGAAATTTTAAAAGGAAAAAAAAGGTCAAAGAGATGATAAATGTTGAAAATCATGGAATCCTAAACTGGTTTGGGTGGGAAGGGACCTTAAAGCTCATCTTGTTCCGTGGGCAGGGACACCTTCCACTATCCCAGGTTGCTCCAAGCCCTGTCCAACCTGGCCTTGGACACTGCCAGGGATGAGGGACCCACAACCTCCCTGGGCAGTGAATGACAAATGTGGCTAAAATACAGAAAGTAGAAGGTATTTCCTTACCCTTTGAATTCATTAAAAACTAGACATGCCTGCAGAGTGCTACAGGGAATGCTGAGAAGGTGGTTGCAGAAGGGATAAAAGTTAAAGTTACACAACTGTGTAGGATTATACAGTGGTCTGTCCCTCGGTGACCCAGGTGACTTTATGATGGAAATGAATAAATGGTTTGTTTTAAACAGATGGAAAACTTTCCTGTGGCTACAAGAGACCTTCAGATTATGTGGTTGTCAGCCACGTGAGCTTGAAATACAATAGAAAGGATTCAGCAATACAGGGCAAGGCTTAGAATGAGAATACCTGGTGTTTAATCCTAATTTTGCCACAGGCATCTTGACCTTGAATTAGTCACCTTCAGGCACTTGAAGCACTGGCAGCAGGAGCAGAGCCTTCAGGAGGCTGTTCCTTGTCTTGCATGATCGCAGTGGGTGGGATTGCCACGCTCTAAAGGAAAAAAGGAGGGGGGGGGCAAAGGCTTTTTGGTGTTTAAAGTGGCTGTTAACCTAATAACCTGTGCAAATTAAAAGATGCAGGAGCGCTGAGTTCGAAATTAAAGTGGTTGTTGTGACTGCAGACATGAAAAGGTCCCGTGTAACTCGGTGACCCGCGGGGTGAGAGCGCGGGCTGCTCCTGCTCCACCAGGGTATGTGCTGGGAGTAAGGCTGGAGAGAAAAAAAAATACCTCCTGCTTGTGTAAGCAGTGGGAAAACAAGCAGACACTTTATACTCCAGAAAGCCCAGTGTAAGCCTCAGGAAATTCCTGCATTCTTGATTTTTTATTTTGCGGCGGAGGGCTCGCGGGGCGTGTTTTTGAAAGATGAGCAAGGTTGCCCTTCTCCAGCCCAGTGCCATGGACCTGATAAGCTGGGGCTGAATAGCTCATTGTTCCCTACGGGAGCCCAATCAGCTGTCACTGCTCCCCTCCAAAAACACTGGGTTTATTTAGAAAGGGAAAGTGCTGACGGCGCGTTTCGTACCCAAGGCAAAGTTCCTGGTTCTTGCTGCTGTTGGGGCAGAGCCGCGTGTGAAGTGTCCCACCTCGAGAGCTGAGGGCTTGAGCTTCCCTGTGATTTTATAATTAAGATCATAGAATCATAGAATCAGCTGGGTTGGAAGGGACCTCTGAGATCATCAAGTCCAACCCTTGATCCAACCCCGCTGTGGTTCCCAGCCCATGGCACTGAAGCCACATCCAGTCTCTTCTTAAAAACCTCCAGGGATGGAGAATCCACCCCTTCCCTGGGCAGCCCATTCCAATGGCTGAGCACCCTCTCTGGAAAGAAATTCTTCCTGATATCCAACCTAAACCTCCCCTGGCACAGCTCAAGACCCAGCCCTCTTGTCTTGCTGAGAGTTGCCTGGGAAAAGAGACCAACCCCCCCTGGCTCCCCCCTCCTGTCAGGGAGTTGCAGAGAGTGAGGAGGTCTCCCCTGAGCCTCCTCTTCTCCAGGCTGAGCCCCCCCAGCTCCCTCAGCCTCTCCTCACAGCACTTGTGCTCCAGTCCCTTCCCCAACCTTGTTGCCCTTCTCTGGACCTGCTCCAGCCCCTCCATGTCCTTCCTGAGCTGAGGGCCCAGAACTGGACACAGCACTCCAGGGGTGACCTCGCCAATGCTGAATATATAGAGATACCTGTGCTCTGCTAATTTTCCAGCCTGAACTGCTTGAATTTGTATTTCTACTTTTCCTTTGTATTTCTGCTTTTGCTCCTGAGGGTGGTTTCTGGGTTGGGGATGTCACTGATGGAGAACATCCAAGTTTGCCAGGTTGTCACCCTGGGAAAAGATCCAACAGTTGTGGCACCAGGAAGGGGTGGGTGGTCACACCATATTACTTTGCCTTTCGTACCCCAATTTTATTTTCAAACATGGTGCCTGCTCCTCATCCGTGCTAATGGGGTTGCTGACTTCTGAAAAACAGCATGAGCAAACCCTAAATGCACAAATAGATACATCACAGGCAAACAAGGTATTTGCTGCACTTGAATTTTGACCCTGTTTCTTTATGGGCTTAGCAGAAAACACCAGGTCTGCTCAGGTTTTTTCTTTGTGTGATCCTTTTCTCTGGGTCTAGGAGCTAAACCACAACTTGCTAAAATGAGTGTCTTTGTCCAGTAACTTCTGGAAAGGTCACAGAGTTGTTTCTGTGTTGGGGCCTTTTGCTGAGGAAAGGGTGGAAGAGAAGACACAAAGGGACAAAGAGCTTTCTAGTACCCCTTGCCTTGAAGGATGTTCTTTCTGGAATGTCAGACCTGCAGGTGAGTGTCAGGTTGAGGATTAGGTGAAATGGTTCATTGCAGCAAGGAAGCACCACATGACTGATCATTTTGGTGCTGTTATCGTTGTCTTCCCATAATTTTTGCTTTGTGAAGTCTTAATGGCAAAGCCACAGGTGGAGTGGGGGTGTCTGGGTTGCATTCACCTGGCTAAAGGTGTCACTTTGCAAATATTTGGGTGGTTGTGTGTCTGGGGCTCGAGCTGAGTGGAGATGTGTAGAGAATATGTGGAACATCAGCAGCAGATTTTGACAGAAGTTTTGGCAGATCTGATGTGTGTAAATATCCATTCTCTCCCCGTGCCCCTCCCAGGCCCTGCTAGTCCTGAAATACTGGAAGAAACAACAAAGGCATCTCAAAACCAAAGAAATCTCCTGAGTTGCAGTGAGTGCAGTGTGCAGGTTTTACCTGCTGTGGTCCTGCTTCCACGTGCCACCTTCCCTGAGGCCCGTGGGTTTGATTAAAGAAGTACATGGACAACTCAGGCTGGTGTATTTGTGTGTACTTGTGTTTGCTGATGAAGAAACACAAGTTTTCTGTTTCCTAAAATTCTCTCCTGGGGGGAAAAAAAATAAACCTGACCAGCTTTTCCCCCTTCCTCTACTTCATCCCATGCCATGACCTTGCTGCTTGTGTTCTCTCCCTGCTGTGGAAGGCCCTGGGCACAATCTGGGAGAAGTGGAACTACCAAATTAAAGTGCTAATCGAGCTTGAAAATGCCACATTCATGCAGATTATGATATTCTTTTAATTTTTTTTGGGGGGGGGCAATTCTAACTAGAAGCTGTAATTTTATTTTGGGTTTGGGAGTCCCTAAAATAAAGATGGGTCCCCTAAAACTGCTCCCACAGATGTGAGCAGGATTCGAGGCAGCTGATGCTCAACAGAGCATGGCAGGAGTGAAGCCACGGAGGTCCAGATGGTTTGCTTTTTTCTGGGCAGAGGGACAAGCACACCAAGGAGCCAGGCTGGCCTCTGAGATTATGTATTTCAGGAATTAGCCATGAAGGATTTGATTAAAAAATTGCATTTGGGAAATGATCCCTTCCCCACTTTCAGCTGTGGCGACAAACTCGCAGTTGCAGCGTGTCGATGGGAAGAAAAGCTGTGAGTGCTGGAAATGTGAATTTTAGTTATTTTATTGCTGGTTCTGGATTCAGCTTGGAACAGCACAGCCTGGAAAACCTTTGGAAAGAGCAGCACTAACAGTCAGGCCTCTCTACAGTTTGACTGCTCAAAGACCTTGAGATGAAAGTGCATATTTTATTGGTTTCATGTTGAGTTTATTGCCTGTATAAAAGCCAAATAACCTTTACTGGCTGCATCACTGAATATTTCTGCATTTTTAGACTGAGAGTGACACGCTTCTGCTGTGTTTTCTTGCCCTTTTTGACCGTGAGTGAGTCACTTCACTGTTCTGACCCTCAAATTCAGGATCAGTGGGGTAAGGAGGACACCTGGCTCTGTGCTAATGGGAGATGTTTTCATATTTGTGAAACGTTTGAAAACTGTTTGTAAAATATTGTGTTCATGTAGATATATTCATAATAATTACGCTGCAATTATGATGAATATGTGTTAATAATTAATATCATTAATTACAATATTAACACTTATATCCGTGTGCTTTATGAGTCCTTCAGACATAGATATGATACTTGCAGATATTTTTAAAAAGCATCTTCCTGGAGATAATTCCCTGATGGGAAGTGCTGTCGTGTTGACTCCCTGAAGGGGTGTCTTTTCTCTGTTTCATGGCTTGGTTTCTAAGGAGAGCTGCACAGCTGGAGACTCAGTAACCAACTGAAGAATCCAAAATTGGTGCCTTCGGGGAGTGCCCCAGAATGTGCAACGTCTTGTTTCTGCATCAGTAGTTGTCTGCAGAGGAATTTGATAGAAATTCCCTGAAGTGATTTTCGGAGCTGACGTGGGGTATTGCAGCATTTAGCCCTTTTTCCAGACTGAGATTCAGTACATTTTTAGGCAGTGACCACTTGTTCTTGATGCCAAAAATGCACTTGACACTTGTAACTGATGCACTTTCCAGCAGTGAAGCTTTGCTGGTAGGTCTGTGCACCAAAATGCAGGTTTTTGGCTGAATTTCCAAGATACAACTGCAATCATTTTCTGTCTGCAGGTAAAGTCAATCACGGTGATGGAGCTTTGCTGACATGAGGGAACGTATTTTTAACTATATTTTCTTGGAGATTTTTGATGTTTTGTTGGTTTTTTTTTTTCTCTGATGGGATTTTGTTTAATCTTTAGTGCTTTTTATTTGTTACAGAGATCCGTGCCCAATTGGTAGAGCAGCTGAAATGCCTTGACCAGCAGTGTGAGCTTCGGGTCCAGTTACTGCAGGACTTGCAGGATTTCTTCCGCAAGAAGGCAGAGATTGAGATGGATTACTCAAGGAATTTGGAGAAGTTGGCTGAGAGATTCCTGGCTAAAACTAGGAGCACCAAAGACCAGCAATTCAAGTAGAGTATTTGCCTTTTGTTTTTGCCCTTTTTTCCTCTCCCTCCTCCCTCCCCCAGGAGATTTGATTGCAAGGGTAGGAATGGGAAAGAGAGTTGATCCAGTGAATGTAGGGACCAGCACTGCTGTGAATGTCAGAGCCAAATGTTTCCCAGGTTTGGGTTGAACACAGAACCCATTCCATGTTCCTGGGTGCTTATTTCAGTTATTCCTGGTAGGTCAAATGCTGTCAGTAGGGAATGAAATGGTAAAAATTGGCATGTCTAAAAGGCATAATTTTCTTGGGGAAGGTGGGCAAAGCTGTGCACCACGTCTGGGGGACAAAGCCAGGATTTCCTTCAGTGCCAGTGGCTTTGGTCTGGTTTTTTGGGGTTTTTTTTATGGGTGACTGTTTCCAATCTGTTTTATGCTGTCAACTCTCTGTTTTCAATATCCCACACATACTCATTGTGGGAGTTGAGTGTTGTATCTCTGCTACTATCACTTCAAACAGTAGAGAAATGAGGCCAGGAGTACTCCTGAGTCCAACAGAGCTGTGCCACTGGGGGCAGGGGAATCCCCAGGTACTAAGCTGATGGGACTCAGTTAAAATTTAAAGATATCCTTATTCACAGTCAATTTTTCCCCTGCTTGAAGCATGAGGCCGAGTGGATCTGACTCTATTGCTGTAATTGTTCCTGGTTTTTGGTTCTTCCCCACTTATCTGAGTTGGGATGATTAACACGTGTAGGAACGTGGTTTCATGGATTCAAGTCTTTATGATTTACTCCTGCCTCCTGCCAGGAGGTGCTTTTCCCAGGGAAGGGGGGGATGCAGGAGAGGACCTGTGGATGAAGAAGGGGCTGGTGCAGAGCCACCAGCCCGGCGAGGAGGTGACTGGAGGAGCTCCCGGGGTTGACATCTGGGCAGAGCACGGGGCTTGTTGGGTTTTGTTGTCAGGGCAGCAGCTGGGGAAAACACAACGGAGCTAAAGCAGCCTTGGGACCTGAATCATTTCTGCTTTGGACAGATTGGGCTGAGAGGATCCATCTGGGTCTGCCCCCGCCCAAAACGCGGCGTCACTGCGAGCGTTGTTTGGGTCGGGCTGTTCCCCGGGTTTTGTGTTTGGTTGTTGCTGGGTTTGCAGGGATGTGGGGATGCAGCAGCAGCTTTCCTGCTCCACCAGCAGCTCCTCTTGTGGAAGCCATTAAGGAGGCACCATTTTAGTTTCCTTTCTGTGCAGCTTTGATGTCGTTTAATTTAGTTCTCCTTTAAAACACACATTGTTCTGCGTTGTTGGGAAAGCCTGGCTGCCCAGCAGAGCTGTTTGACAGGCTGGAGAAGAGTTATTCTGCTTATCTATAGACCTGTCATTGTCTGAAGTGTTTTTTCTTTTCCTCTCCAGTGCAAATGTTGTTACAGCCATAAGCTTGTGTGTATTCTGCACATGCCTTTAAGATGGCACTAAAGAAATTATGCCTTGAACTGTAATTTTCCTTTGCATTATGATTGGTCTTTTCAGTTGATTTTGTTGTTGTTCCTGGTGAAAATTGAGGTGATTTCCTTTATATTACACGGTGTGAAACATCCCATAGAAATGCTTTTATATCCAGCTTCCAGTGTTGGGAAAGTTCCTATTTGGAGATTTAGAGTGAATGTATAATGTGGAAGTTTTGACTGTAGTCAGACAGACTCCTACATGGTGTCATACTTCATGTGAATGAATACTTCATCCTAGCTGTGATACTGCAGGGTTTTAAATTTTTTATTTTTTATTTTTTTTGCTCTAATGCGGTTTCCTTATTGACCCCTGCCCAGGTTTTTGAGCTGTTTGTCCTTCAGGTAAGATTTACAAAGTTGTGCCTGGACAAAACTGACCTCAGATGTCCCAGCTGTGGAGTGTAGCCTGAATTGGAGAGGTGATTTTGTTAGCACATAAAACCTTAGCTTGAATTTCTGAATTAAATGTCAATGCTTTTCTGGTCAAGTGCAGGGCATTGCCCAAAATACTCTGAAAGCTGTTCATGAGCATCGACTTCAGTGTGCAGGGAAAGAGCTGATGCTGCTCAGGCTCCTCATTTCACTCACATTAAGGAGCAGAAAAATGACAGAAAAATACCTTGCTCTTGGAATATGTTACCCCTGCAAAGTCTGAGTCCCAAGTGTATGAGTTGTTAAGTTGGTCAAGAGTTGGAATAAGAGAAAAAAACAATTCTGTGGGCAGTACTGGCCACAGCAGTGGCACAGGTCAAGCTGTCTGTCCTGGGCACCTCCATCTAGGACTTGTCTGGCCACTTGTCTGCTGTCTGCGACAGTCAGAGTTGTGTCAGAATCCCACAGGGATCAGTAAGGAAGCAATTCCAGTTATAATTACCTCTCCTCACCACTGCCCTGTCTGAGCTGGGGAGACTATCTTGGCTGGTATCTCCTCTGGAGATGCTGAAGCTGTAATCTCCTTGGGAAGCCCCCAGAAGCCCGTTTGATCAAAGGCAGCCATCAGATCTCTCCTCCTCGGGAGCCTGGGATTACATGTCTGTGAGAGGAGCCCTGGGCTGTAATTGCCTGGCTCTGACCCTATAAATACCCCGTAATAGGCTGCTCTCCCCACAACCCGGCAATTATGTCGGAAGGTACCGTATCATTCAGGGCCTGCTCCCCGTGTCACTGGCCCTTTTTAGATCCCATAACACACACTCAGGGAGGGAATCTGCCAGGCACTCCCCCTGTAATTTGCATGTGCTTTCATACTCAACAGCTATTATGTAATTGCCGAGTTGCTCCGGCTGTGATCGTTTAAGGGAACGCTGTCAAGGGCAGGAGGCTTCAGGCTGACCCTTGAAATTGGATTGTGTGGCTTCCTCCAGCAGCTGGAAAAAGGAACAGGCTTCAAGGAAAGAGCAGGGGAAAGGGCAGGCTGCTGGGGGGGTTCTCACAAAGGCTTTGCGTGGGGTTTGTTTTCCTGCCTCGGAGGGGGAGCTGGTCAGGTGGGCACGTTTGCACAGAATCCCAGAATGGTTTGGGTGGGAAGGGACCTCAAAGATCATATTGTCCCCTTGCCATGGGCAGGGACACCTTCCACTAGCCCAGGTTGCTGTTACAAGCCCCGTCCAAACTGTCCTTGGACACTTCCAGGGATGGGGCAGCCACAGCTTCTCTGGGCAACCTGTGCCAGGGCCTCCCCACCCTCCCAGGGAAGAGTTTCTTCCTCATATCCAACCTAAACCTGCCCTCTGTCAGTTTGAAGCCATTCCCCCTTGCCCTGTCACTCCAAACCCTTGTAAATAGTTCCTCTCCACCTTTCTTCTCAGCTCCTGCAGGTATGGAGGGGCACAGTTAGGTCACCCTGAAGCTTCTCTCCTCCAGGCTGAACAAATCCAATTTCTCTCAGCCTGTCCTTGTAGGAGTATTTTCCATATGGGTTCTGAAATGTGGGCAGTTGGGTCTTTACAGCAAACTCTACATAGCTGGGGCTGGACTGAAAGAGTTTTTGCACAGTGCTCAGCTTGAAGCTTCACTGGGGCATCTTAAAGTGATTTACAGAGGTAGGTGTGTGTTATTCTCATCTGAGATGTCTGAAGAAGGGGAACAGATTGATTTAGCCAAGGTGACATACGAGTTGATGGCAGTTGGATATATCCCAGGTTTTACTTGCTTTTAACTCTCCACCATGGCTGTTAGACCTCACTTTGCCTATTCTCTTCTAAAAATGTGGGTTTTTTCAGTCAGAACAGGCTATGAAAGAGTCATACACAATGTATATATTTGGTATATATATTATATATATTCCTCAGAACCCACTGGTAAATAGGAGTGGCACAAGGAGTGGAGGAAAAAAAAAGGCATTTTATAGCCCAAGTCTTCTAACTCTGGTTGTTACAAGAGCTTGGTGGTCACAGGTTTGGTGTAGTCATTGCTCCTTAAAGACCTGCCTGACTAAGTTGTGTAGCAGCTAAATCAGAGCATCCACCTCACAGATGTCTCTTGGGTCTGGGGGTCTCTTCTTGACTTCCAACCCCAGAGAAGGGCTCTGTCCCACTCCAGTGAGACCCTGGGACCTTCAGCTCCAGCCTTCAATCCTCCTGTTTAACGTGATTTTTGTCCTAGAGGCATTTGACTATTCAAAAAGCATAAAAACCGTGGCAAACCTTGAGTGATTCCTTTCAAGAGAGAAAATGGGAAAGAAAAAAAAAAAAAAAAAAAAAACAGAAAAAGGAGGAAAAAAAAAGTGAAAAGACAGTGCTATTTTAAGGCCATATTTTAAATCAAGATAATCTTTGGAAGCAGGACACTGAGTAGCAATTGTCAGCTGGAGAGCTGAATGTCCAGGATATCCCAGCATGAAATTCAGATGGCTTTCTGGCAGCCCTTGCCTTGAAGTAGAAGATGCAGAATAAGTCTGGCAACCTTCAGGCTGAGCACTTGTAAACAACAGATGTTCATAACTGGAATCTTTTGGAAGAGAAGGGCAGGGAGCAGCATGGATGTCCATGCTTGTAATTCTCAAAATTTGCAGTTAACACTGAGCTGTGTCAGGGAAAATCAGAGCTCGAGCTGAATGAGCAGCTTGCAGAGAAGTTCAGCTTTAATTTCCCTTAAAAGCCAAATGGTTTCTTTAAAGCAAAGATGATGGAGGCTTGTGAGGGAGGTATTGACAGAAGCATTTGGGTCATGTGGACTTCAATTACATTATCATCGTTATGATAATGTTTATAATGATAATAATGATGATGATGATAGTAAAAAACATTGTCATAGGCTATTTTGACCTGTGATTCTTTTTGATGAAGCCGAGTCCTGCACATTTTTGCCCGAGTCTGTCAAGTACCAGCGTTTGGGAGGTTTTTCTAAGCATGAAACATTCATTTATTCAGTGACCTCCTTGGATGCAGAGAGCCAGGGAGACGTGACCAGGGAAAATGGATGGAAAGCCTCAGGGGGGGATTTCTGTGCTGCTTTTCATCATATCAGTGATCCCAGTCTCGCCCTGTGTTGCTTGGTGTGATTGCAGCCACTGTTGCCAGAGTGCAAAATTCAGAGAGGTTTGAAATAGTGTTTACAGCAACAATTAAATCTCTGCTCTGCCCCTTGGCCTGGCTCCAGCTCCCATGGTTTGCAGGGTGGACTGTTTTGGGATGTGTTTTGGGTCTGGAAGTGTCCATTGAACACCCCTAGGGAGCAGGTCCTGAAAATTTTGGGGAGGTGGAATAGGAAACTTCTGATGTTGTGTGTTACCACCAGGAGACTTGTTTTAAAACCATCATTCACAGGAAGGGTTGTTGGGAAAGTTTTCTGCTCCCATGGACAGTGGGATGTCCCTTGGAGAGGAGACCCTTCCTGAGGAACTGCTGGGGGGATAGGTTCAAATGGAAAGAGGAGAAGTTTGTGTTGGATGTATGGAAGAAATCCTTCCCTGGGAGGGTGGGCAGGCCCTGGCACGGGTTGCCCAGAGAACCTGTGGCTACCCCATCCCTGGAAGTGTCCAAGGCCAGGTTGGACAGGGCTTGGAGCAACCTGGGCTAGTGGAAGGTGTCCCTGCCCATGGCAGAGGGTGAGACTGGATGAGCTTTAAGGTCCCTTCCCACCCAAACCATTCTGTGATTCTGTGTTCATTCATTTAAGTGTTTATTTAGTCATATTTTAATTCTCATCTGATTCATTCCCTTGTCTGGTGCTCCTTATGGAAACCCAATATTCCTATTCCTAATTTGTGGACGTGGTTTTTGAATTTTTCAGATTTTTATTCACTTTTTTTTTATTATTTTTTTGTTTGTTTGTTTGTTTTTTGTTTTTTTTAATCTATTTTGTATTTTCTGCTGTTACTTTGCAGTGCCCAACTCTGTGTCACTGTTGTCTGGCTCTCTCTCCTGCTTGCTTAAAGCAGACAAATCTTGGATTGTCTGCAAGGTCCTTGTATGAATGAGCAATTTAATTAAGACATTTCAGATATTTGAGGCTCAGCCTTCCCTTCTGATCTTTTGAGACCAGCTGAAAACTTTGAAGTGGAAGTTGCACAGGACCCCATCAAGATAACGCCCGAGAAACCACAGAGCTTCATACTTTGTGGTTCCCTAAAAATCCGTGCACAACTTCCTCTTCCTGCTCCCAAACACCCCTGATTGCTGTGATCTGGTGTAATTTAGGCTAACCTAAATAAACTCTCCAGATTCACTATCATCACACCATCTTTATGTGAGTATAAATAGTGCTTGAAATAAACCTGGATCTTGGCGTCTTCCTCCTCCTCCTCCTCTTTCTTCTCCTCGTCCCCTTCACGGGGCGGGGGGAGTTTGACTCCAGCAGTTGTTGTGAATGTGAAGTTGCCAGCACTTTGGGAAAATTCATATCCAAGTCCTAAAGTTTTGGGTTGATCTCATCAGTTTTTATCACTTCAGGGTGAACACTGACTCCGTCATCCTGCGGAATGTGTGGAAATGGAGCTTGTTCTTGGTCGTACCCAGCGGTCCCTGTTGCATATTTTCCTTCCCCTTTTCACCCCTCCTCTGTGGTGACATGAAACTGGAAGCAGAGTGTATTTACCAGCTCCTTTGAGGATTCAAATGGTTAATGAAAATCACAATTTGCCTCTCTGCCATCTGCTCGTGGTTATGATTGAAAAGGGTTTGCTGTAAACAGTTGTAGAACTTCTGCTCCGTGTTGTGAAAACTGTGGCCACGTTCCACCCCAGGAAATGCTGCAGTTTTAGAGGTGCTCTAAGCTGTGTGGAGTTTTAAAGGCTTCTTGGAAGGTTTCCTTTTCTGTTTCATTCCTACCTTTCTCTGCTTTTTGCTGGGAAAACCGTCACTAGCAAATAACGGGGAGGTTTTGTCTCCCTTCCTGTAAAAACCTTGTCATGGAGACATCAAACCTGTTCAACAGCAAAGCACCATTTCAAGGAGGCACTGAAGGGGCTAGTGAACCCATCAGACGCCGGGAAATTAAAGGAATTTAAGTGAAAAACCTCGAAATGTGCAGAGCTGTGGCTGCCTGGGGTTGAGCTCCGGGCGCGGCGCTCGCGGCGCATCCCAAGGTGACAATCCCGGCCGCGGATTGGAAACATGTGGGGTTGGGATTATTTTTTTCCTGCAGGATGGCCTTTCATGTGTAACCACATGGAGTGTGTCAACAACCCATCTGGCGCCATTAGACACCAGTGATTTTACTCACCAGGCTTTTCATGGGCTCCTGGTATTCCTGCTATGTGCTGCCTTAGAATAGCTCGGGGTGTTGTGGCAGGGCAGGCTGGACAGCTGGGAATTGTCCAGTTAACTGTTGCATCTCTTCTGGTTCCCCCTGGTGCCTCAGTTTGCTTTGGGAGGCAAGGCCCTTGTACCTGCTCTCTGCTCCTTTCCATGCATTCATAACTCCTGGTCCTCGAGGCTCTCAGCTCTTCCAAGCTGCTCCTGGTGGGGTTGGACTGACGGTCCACTGGGGATGTTGAGGCAGGATTTTGAACAGCTAGAACAGGGTCAGCTGGTGGAGAGTTTGAGCTTTTTGTTCCTAAGTTTCATTCCCAAACTCTTTGTGGTCGTTGGTTGATTTTTCACTTGTAGCTCTGCCAGTTTTAGAGGGCAAACACTGAGTCAGTGGCTAAAGTGCTGTGACATCAGTGGTGTGAAGGAGCAAACCAGCCAGCTTTTAATATCTTATAGTCCTGTCCTTCATAAACTTTTCTTTATATCCTTTCTTCTGCCTGAACCACAGGTTGTTGGCAGGGTTGGTGGCTCTTCATTTGGCCTGTACACCTCTGACCCAGCACTGCTCCTTGGAGAAGCTCCTCCTGGAGATGCTGTTTCTCCTCCTGCCCTCTTTTTAGTGGAAGAAAAAACCCTTAATGTGTTCATTACCTTCTCTTGTGGTGGCAACTCTTATCTCTGTCTCAGCAGGCTCAGAGCACATGGCTCCTGCTCTGCTTTGCTCATCACTTTGGCTGCAGCCTGGTCAGCACCCAAAGATTCCCAATTCTATTATGTAGCTCTCACAGTCACTAATTAGCTCTGTGGCACATTAAGAAAACGAGCATTATGCTGCAAACACTGGCTGCAGATGAGGGGCAGCTATTTGATTTACAAGGCTCAACATCTGGCAGTTTGAACCTTGTACAGTTCTGCACTTGGATCATTCCATCTGGGTTTGTACCTGCAGTGCAGGACACTGGGATACGAAGGAAAATGCTGTCTCTAAATTAAATCTGTGCCTTCTCATGTTTTTTTTGTTGGTTTTTTTTTTTTACCTCAAAAACCCCAGAGTCCTTTTTATATTCCCTCCCACTACACACACACTCTCCAAACATTGAAGCAGTTGAGAAGCACAGACTGCAGTCATTCTTGAGCTTTTCATTTATTTTTTATTTTTTTTTAGAAAAAAAGCATCGAGCTCAGCCCTTCTGAACTGTTCTTCTTTATCTAAAATTATCCATATTGCACCACAAATCCAACTGCTGATGTCATGAGAAGGGTAATGAAAGTCTACCCTGGCTTAGTTTTCCCATTTTCCCAATGTCAGACATTTCTTGCAGCAGAGATTGCTGTCCTTTCAAGTGCAGAATATTCCCTTTTCAATGGAAATTAAACCACATTTCTCTTTAAGAGGAAAGAAATCCGATACAGTCACGTACAACAATCAAGGAGAGCTTTGGCTTTGCACCACAGATCTGACTTGGTCTTTTCTAAATAAATATTATTGTGCTGTAAATGAATGATAAACAGACCTAGGGAGAAGTAAGTGATGTTTTTAAGGCTCCACCTGGATGTGCCAGTTCCAAGCACTGCTGGAGCACCTCACACGATCCCTGCTCACCTCCCTGCTTTTATCTGGGATAAAATGGTGCCCCCAAAAAATGACTTACTCCTTTCAGCAGATGAAATGCTGATCCAAAGAAGCTGAGGTTCCTCTCATCTCCCTTTGTATTGCTTATTTGCAGGGTGCATCAGCCGTAATAAGGTGGAGAGGGTTCAAAGATGAGAAAATAAAGCTGCTTGTGCGTGTGTTTCTGTCTCTTTGGCTCAGGACAGATAGAGATGCTTTCACATAATTGGGTTTGTACATGAAACACAACATTTTGTTTCCCATGCAGATGCTTATTTAGCCAACTGGGTGCTTGAAATCTTTTTATTGTGGTTAAGACACAAATGCTCGAGACAGGACCGTGAAACCTGTTGTCAGACACTGGAGCCACCAGTCTCCCTCAGGCACTGATTTATGCACAAAATCCTGGATTCAGAAGGAAAAATTAAAGCCTGCATTTGGCACACTGCAACCTGCATTTGCAGGATCTGTTTGCTGGGGGGACAAAAGCCTGTGGCCACGGGAATGGAGGGAGATGCAGCTGAGGGTGTGTTTTCTGTGTTTTCCTCTGCTCTCCTCTCCCTCAGCAAATCCATCCATCCCAGGGCTGCATTTCCAGCATTTATGGACACAGAACCTCACGAGCAGAATCGTTGTGTTCACCTCAGGTGAGTCCTACCCAATTTTTTCTATTTTGTGCCCTTTCTAGGAAGGATCAGAACGTGCTGTCGCCAGTGAACTGCTGGAACCTGCTGCTCAATCAGGTGAAGAGGGAGAGCAGGGACCACACCACCCTCAGTGACATCTATCTCAACAACATCATCCCCCGCTTTGTGCAGGTCAGCGAGGACTCAGGACGCCTCTTCAAGAAGGTATCTGAGACTTTTTTTGTTTGGTTCTTTTAAAATACCCTTCCAGCTCTTACTTCTAGTGCACTGATTTATTGTTGCCTGTGCTGAACACCTGAGGTTTTAATTTTGTTCAGTAACTTTATTCTTCTAGCATTTTAGGATTTTCCCAGATGAGGCCAGTTGAGATTCGTTGGTCTAAATTCAGGCTGTGTTTTTTTTCCTCCTCTTAACCTGCTCGTGGTTTCATATGGATGCTGAAACTTTAATTAAATGAGCAGAAGTGCTTCAGGTCTTCAGCTCTGAACATAGTCAAGAACAACTCTCAAAAGACAGAATTACATCTGCCATGGAGGAGAAATTGCTGTTAAAACTTAGGGAGAATTCCTGCTATGCCAGACAATAAAAGGGTATATTGTCATTCTCTGGAAAAAGGAAAAGATGTAATTGAAGTCTCTTTTCTTTGTCTTCTCCCCTTTCTCTCCCCTTGATTTCCACCTGGGAAGAAAGGTGGGACAGTGTGGGAGGGTTTTGCTGTTAAGAATCTGTTCTTCCAGTTAAAGAAACACGATATGGAAGCTTTGAAACTCCTGTTCCCTGGTCTCTGCAGGGATTTGCCCGTTGCTGGAACATCTGCTGCTTAACATGTTGAAATCATTGCAGCTCTTAACTTTGAAAGCCATTTCTCTGCCCCCACCCCCTTGCAATGTGTCAGGAGCTCGGGGAGTTTATTTCTACTCTTGCAAGGCCTGGAGAGGGGAAAGAGTGTTCAGATATTTCTTAACCTCTCCCTGTTGCCCGAACTGCTGGAGGAAGTCTATAAAATGCAGTTTGTTCAGGCTGCTAGAAAATGAGCAGTGCTCAATATTGTGTGAGATATTTCGTGTCAAGATGCACTTGAAGGAGCAGCATCTCTGTGTTACCTGGAGAGCAGGATGAATTTGCTCTGTTGCAGCAGGTTTTTGTGTGTGTTGTGATTTCTAGGGGAGAATGAAAATCAGTGCAAGTGCACTGTGGTGTTCCTTGTTCTCTGCCTATTCCCTGAGTTTTTAATGGAGTATGAAAAATACTTTCAACTGTTACACTCTGTTTCTCTTACACTTCTTTATTTTTAAGTCATTGCCCAAGCAGAGGAGGGATCTTTCTCATTTTCAAGTAACGTCACACTGAGGCCTTTTTGACCTTTTAAAACTTTCTGGTAATTACATTATGGTTGATTAGATACTTACATGGGATTATTGAATGGCAGTTACTCTTCAATTCCTCTAATCCTTCCAAAGGAGAAGTAATCTCCCCACAGAATTTCAACAAGGGCTGTGCTTGAGCAAAGTGGCCTGGAAAATGCCTTGGCAAAGTGGAACATGGAAATGGATATTATCCCACTTTGGCTGGGAACTGGCATCTTCATTTTCAGCCCCTTTATAAAACAGGGCAAACCCTGTGGTTGTGCTTTATTTTGGGCTGCAGGACTGGAATAAAAACAAATAAGTAACTGATCAGCAGCAAAATACACCTCTGGTTTCTTTCTCACAGACTGAGGGCAAGCTCCATATTTATAATTTGAGCAAACAAAAGGCACTTGTTAATGAATCCCAGCTACTTGTTGCCTGACTGTTTGCCAGAAATATCACATTGGCTGAAGGCCAAAGCAGGTATTTGATTACCATTCCACTTGTACTGGGTGGTTAAAAACAAAAATTGCATTCTCTCTTATCTGGTAGCAGCTGATAAATAGAGAAATTTGGCTGAACTTGGATCTGCTGCTGCTTGTGCTTTTTCACTGGAATCCCTTCCCTTCCTGAGCTGTGAGAAGCAGCAGGAATTGGTACAAAAGGTACTGCAGGCTAGAAAACAGATGAGGTGTGTGGTTAAAATATTGCAAATCAGCTTTATCATCCATGGATTTGAAGAAATGTTACCTATATATGAAACCCTTCTGCAGCATGTTTGTAATATATCCCAAAAGCAGCACAGAGACAAATGGTACCTTTTCTACCTTTTCCTGGATGAAAAAACAGGGACAAGTGGATCAAGTCACTTCTCCAGGGTTGTTCACTCAGGCTGCCTTTCTGATCAGTGTGTGTAGGTATTGATGGGGAATTATTCAGTGGCTTGGCAGGATATTTAGGAATGGACATGTATTTTTTTGCCTCTGCAACCACATCAGCCCAAAGGGAAACTACTCCTGTTGATGAGGAATCGCTGAAGAACTTTCTCTTCCCTCTCCCCTTAGGATCTCTCATCCTTTTTGAAACTTTTGAGGCATCCTTTCCTATTTTTCAGTGGAGAAGAGCTGCTGTAGTGTGTGACAGCTCAGAAAGCTGAGCTCTTTTTATCTGCCTTGAAGCAGATGGAGTTTATACAGGAGCTGCATGGAAAATAAAGCCACTGTGCCACTGCAAACCCTCCCACGGAGCTGGGCAAGGCAGATCTGGAGGTCCTGATCAAAACCCAAATGAGAGCGAGTTCCAGGGGCATAGCTGGCTGAGTGTGCTGCTGCAGCTCAGAAAATTTTATGTGGCTTCTCCACAGACCTAATTAGCCAGGCCATGGCAGTGAAATAACTGGCTGTGTTGCTTCTGAGACTGGAGTTTCCTGCCTCTCCTGTGCCAGGCAGTCGTTCCAGCTCCTCCTCTGGTTCTACACCATCTCCTCTCTGCTCTAACCATGCACTGCAGTTTAATGAAGTGCAGCCTTAGCTCAGATGCTGTCAGGGCACTCAGGTTTAGTTTAAGACAGGAGCTTATTTTTTTCTGTTTTCCAGTGAAAATGGTAGCTGTTGGAATTGCGGTGCCAGTCTTGCTGCTGGTTTGGGAGCTCTCTGCCCTTGTTTCATGGAGACTCCATGTTAAAAACAAGGAGACTTCATTATTTTAGAGTCTGAGAAATGTTCTTTTTTCACACTCCTCTTTGGAAAACAGCTTCTGAAAGAGTTATACGTGTGTCTGGCTGATTGCAGGTGCTCTGGCAACTTACATTTAGGAACTACTCACCGGGTTGTAAATAATGCTATGAAATATGGAGAGGAGAGCAGCACAGAGATCTTCCTCTGCTGAGGGCAGTGGAAATCAAATCCTGGGGCACAAGATCCTTTTCTTGGACTGTTTGTAACTCAGAGCTTCCTCGAATCAGTGTTTTGTGTCGTGCTGGGGTGGAGCAGGTGAGCAGGGAAGAAAGGATGTGCTCAAGGTCCCTTTTGTTGCTCAACTCTTGAGCTGCTGTGTGAAGTGGAGAGCTTTTTCAAAGGGAATCTGAGTACAGTGTGCAGCTGTAATCCAACCTGAGGGCAGCAAAGGGCCTGGGTGGGTGTGATAAGGTCTGTACTGGGAAGGAAATGCATCCTTGTGGCAGCAGTGGGAGCTGGAGCAGCACAGAGCCTGAGGTGGGAACACCAGGCCCTTCTCCCTGGCCAGAAGAGCATCAGCAGTGGTGGCAGCGTGTGGGGTTTGACTCTTCCAGTGAGTGGGGTGGAGAATCCTCAGGCTGAGGTTCTCATGTGCTCCCCCTGGACCCCTCAGACCACTCTGCAGTGGGCACAGCAGAGCTTGGCTGGGTCTGTCTTAAAATCATTGAACCCCCCAAATTCCAGCAGTGGTGCCTGCACTGCACACAGGTTTCCAAAGGCTTTGTGTTGGCAGTGTTGGGATGTCCTGGGAAGCCTGCAAGGTCTGTGGCTGTGTCTCCCAGTGTTCCTGTCCCTGGGTTGGGATGGGATCCCTCTCCAGGGCTGTGTGACGACGTGGAGGGTCCCAATTGTTTGAGTGTTGGAGGGAAGCCTGGCAGCCACTTCAAAGGGATCTGTGCTGATAAGAGGAGCTGTGTTTGCTGCCAAAGCCAGCCCTGAAGTGGTGCTGGATGAACAGTGTGTGTCAACCCCTTTCTTCCTGCCCCTGGCATTTGTTTATTCCTTGGTTACCTCTCCCTGCAGAACCTTTCCATGGCTGAGCACTGTCTGCACCAAATGTGGGTTTATATATAATTAGAGAATGAATTATGTGCTACAGGTTTAGATCTTATTGGGAACTCGCAACCTGAGCTATAGGAATTCTTGGAGCACTGTGCTTTTCCGTGCCCTTTGTTTTGTGCTGTGGAAACTCTTTTGGGTGTCAGTCAGAGATGCTGTTGGTCAGGGACTTGCTGCTCCAACAGTCCTGCAGGTGAATCCTGGTGGGATCTGGGATTTGTCTGACCCCAGGGACAGTGTCAGTGCAATTCTGTGCTACTGCAAAGAAAAGGAAGAGAAATGGTGAAATAACCACCCTCTCCAGCAAATAAAACCAAGGGGAGCCAATGGAATCATCCAAATAACAAACAGTTACACCTTGGGAAGGGGGTAATATTTTCTTGTTTGTGCAGCAGTTAATGATTCAGCCCTGGGTTTTGTACAAGGCTGAAGTTCCAAGCCCGTGTGCCACGGCGTTGCTATTCCAGTCACCTCTCCCTCTCCTGGAAGATGATCCTGCTTTGATGTCTGTTCTCCTTTTCATTCCTTCATCTCCTTTTGTGGAGAGCACTCCTTTGATTTCCTCCTGCTTATCCTCCTTCAGCATGGCCCTTTTATTTATTTATTTCAATATTTCTTTATGTCTTTATTTATATATATATATATATATATACATAAAATATTTTCCTTTTTGAGCTGATTCTCACTTTGATTTCCCCTTTTCCCTGTATCCCCCTGCCACCCTCTCTATTTAATGTGACCCTTCATTTCTCTGCACAGTACAACCTTTCTGTTTCTTGCATGGTTATCAGGTTCTCTTTTGCCTCCAGATGTATCTTTTGAGTGGGCTCCCTTGGGATTATTTATACATGTATAGCCTTTTGAGCAGCAGTCTCTTTAATTTGGTATCTTTAATCACTCTTTCTCTGTTGTCTCTTTGAGGTGTCCCTAGAAGCAGCCTGATAACCTTGTTCAAATTTAAGGAAAAAAATAGCTTTTTTAAAAGAACAGACTGTGGAAGCTTCAGCCACTTGGAGTAGTTCATGAACAAACTGATTTTTTATTTTTTTTTTAAGTTTGA